AATTCAGAAATTATCAAGAGAGGGGCAAATCTAAAACTGAAGATTCAAATTTTCCACTTGGATGAGATGATATGGTTTTTGTTTTTTCAATCTTGTCAATTTTTTTAAATACAATGTTGTTCATTTTCTTACACTTTAGATTGGTTAACAAAATTTGAATAAAGTATCTATGACAGCATTTGAGTTTTTTGAAGACTATTGTGTTTTATTTATTTTTAAAAGGGTTTTTAATAGGGTGTATTGCCATTTGATTGTTTTTAGTTTATTTATGCTGGAAGTATCTATTTGGTTTTAATTGTCTTAGGGGGAAATTTATTAGTATTTTTTGTTTGCAAACTTAAGTTGCTTTAGTTTTGTTTTGGTGTTTTTATTAGAATTTTAATTTGTGTTTTCGTGTTTTCTACCGGTGGTATGGTTAGTGATTTATTTTGTTATTTTTATTTATATTGCACAGTAGATCTACACTTTTTGTATCATATCATCAAAAAAATATTGGTGTTTTACAAATTCGAGTATGGTTGGGTTTTGGCTATTTGTAGTGAGTTCTTTTACTGCAGTATAGAAATAGGCATAAATTGCAAGGTAAAGCATAAATGTCTATGATGTTTGCCTTGCCAACCTCACGGGATACACTAGTTATTAGTACTGATCCTCATCGAAAAAATAGTAATAGATGCGACTACTTCATTTCCTCAGGCAGTCGCTACTTGTGTGTGAACATTCGCCAAACTTGCCAAAGTTTTTAAGCAATCTTATCAATTTTTTTAAATACAAAAATTAAAAACAAAACAGTTTGAGCAAAAAAGACATGTAGTTATTAGAAAAGTTTTCTTAAATAACACACGATCCTGTATAAAAAGAAATACAAGTGGGTTTTTTACATTTGCATATAACAAATGTGTTTATATATAAGCATAACTTAATTCATATGCAATAAAGCTGCGCTTTAAACCCACTTTAAAAGTGTTGACTAATTGCAATCAGCATAAGACTTTATAAAACGATTTCTTTTTCAATAAATTGGAAAGATCAGTGGTTTAATGCACTGTCATTGGTGCCATTTTGCCAGGATTCAAATCTGCCTATTAACACATTATATTTTCAATTTTTTTAATCTGGCCATATATATTTATAGCAAAAAAATAATTATAACAACAAAGACTTGTAATTGTTAAAATAAAATTTGAAGTTTTTTCTAGCTACAGGCTTTTAATTTTTTTTTTTTCTTTTTTTCTTTTTTTTAGCAGGACTGACTGAAACTTAATAAAGAAATTTTTTCTTTATTAAGTTTCACACCATAATTTTTTTCAGATCATCTATAGCTTATTAGGACTAATTATCTCAGCACATTAATAACATAAGAATCTCAACAAATTTCTCTCAGTGTTTTGATGCTTTTAGAATTTTTAGCTTTTTTTAAAATCCTTTTGTTTGCTACAGTGTATAATATCTTGTGTATAATATCTTGTGTACAGTGTATAATATCATTAATATTGCAATTTTTCACTGTATAATATATTAATATATATTATACAGTGTATAATATCATTAATATTCCAGTGTATATCTTTATATGTATATTATATCTGCAAAACTTCAAAAGTATTTTATTTTTATTAAAAAAAAAATTCAATTTTTTTTTTTTTTTAAAGAGTCACCAGTGGCTGGATTCGAACCTTTTTTGTATCTAACCATTCAGCCACGCTGGCATATAGAGTAAGAAAAGTTTTTTAACTATTTAACAAATAAAAAAACTTTATAAAACAAAACAAAAATGTTGAAGATCAAAATTAAGGAGATGTTGCCACAATGCAATTTTCGAATGAGCATTAACATGTTGCTTACTATATTTTATTATTATTATTTTTTATATATATATATATATATATATATATATATATATATATATATATATATATATATATATATATATATATATATATATATATATATATATATATATATATATATATATATATATATGTATATATATATATATATATATATATATATATATATGTATATATATATATATATATGTATATATATATATATATATACATATATATACATACATATATATGTGTGTATATATGTATGTATGTATGTATATATATACATATATATATATATATATATAATATATATATATATATATATATATATATATATATATATATATACATATATATATATATATATATATATATATATATATATATATATATATATATATATATATATATATATATATATATATATATATATATATATATATATATATATACAAATGAGGAGCCCATTATACATATGTATGTATGTATGTGTATATATATATATATATATATATATATATATATATATATATATATATTTACACATGTTTATATACACATTTTTTAATTTTAATTGTAGTTGTGCTCAGCTCAGCAAACAAAAGATAAAAGTTCAGAGAATACTATCATATATAAAAAGGAGCATTTGAACATTCGAGTTTCTCTGAAGAGAAGTAAAGACATAAAATTTGAAATGAAAGTGACTGCAAAAGTGAAAAGAACGTTATTATGTTTAAAAGATGTGTATAGTTTGTATGAACATTTTAACGTAATTTTAAATATTATGACATATTCTGATTTTTCTCTGTGTTATAAATTTAAATTTGTTACTTTGATCAAAATTAATGTTTGAACTTTATTTACCAGTATAAAAGTTTATGCAAACTTGTTAGGAGAAAACAATTAAATAATGCAACAGTTTTAAAAAAACTTTACAAAGAAATAGTTGCACTTGTTTATCTTTTGAATCAAAAACAGAGTTTTTGCAAACAAAAAATGAATAAAAACAATCAAGTATTATGTTAGGCGAACAGTAGAATGCAACGATGACCAAACATCAAATGTCGACGTTGGGCCAACATTGAGCCAACAGTTAGCGGCAACTTCATGCCGACTACCAAATTGACGGTGGGCCAACATCAGTTACTGACCATCGGCCGACTAATTTTTCGACGTCAGCCCGATGTAGGCCCAACGTCTATGTGCTAGCTGGGATATATACATATAATATGTTGAACATTATTTTTTTACCTGATTTGCCATTAAGAATAGTAAGATCTTTTATGAAACCATCTTGAGCTGGATACCATGGATCTGAAGCATAAACCATAACATTATTAAAAGATTTAGGTTCTCTATTTTCTTCAGCAAAAACCTCTTCTTCATTCAACTTTATGCGGTATTTATATATATTGTTTTCCAACAGCTGGCTAATTTCAATGTGAGACCATTCATTAAGAGCAACAGGTTCAGTCTTGAAGACTCTGTTAAGATTGTCATTTATAGGGGCAGAAATATGAAGACTACCATCACCACTTTCATGAAACCACACTCCTGGAACTCTATCACCATATCTTTTTAAATCAGAACCAATAGTAAAATGAATAACATTATGAAAACCAGTAGTAAATGAAATAGGTTTTACATCAAAATATACTTTATAAATCTTGTCTAACTTTGGAATAAATGCCACTAAATTTTTTCTGAAAATGTGAGTTTCTGTATCTTCTATTAGTTGCTCTAAAATAAATTAAAGTTATAACATTGTATTAATATTTATACATCAAAAATCTTAAAATTTAAATTAATAGAATGTTAAAATCTTAAAGTTGTGATTTAAAGTTAAAATTTGCACACAAAAAAATGTCACATTAATTATACATAGTTTAATTAAACCACTATGCATAATTTATTTATCATTTATGAGTAGTAAAGTCACTAATAACAACAATATTGACAGAGGGGTAAAGAGAAAGAATATGGTCAATTTGATCAGAAATCTAAAAGAGTCTTGGGAAGAAGGAGAACATTAAAGAACAAAGAGAAAGTAATAAAGAACAAAGAGAAAGAAATAAAGAACAAAGAGAAAATTTTTTCATTTGAATTACCTTTTTTTCTAATAATTCTAAACAATAAACTCTAAACAACCAAGTTGCTGTAACAATATGTTGCTGTAACAATGTCTTTTCTGTGCTAACATGAAAAGACATTGTTATGGCAAAAAAATATGATTACATTCAAATAAAAAGGTTTTAGCAGAAGCACCCAAAAAACGATTCACACATGATTTCTCTACAAACAGGTGAATTGTTGCATAATTTTTTTTTTTTTTTATCAATTCACCTCCTCAAGGCTCAAGGCCACTACAGGCGAGGAGGCTACTTATCTGTGGTTATAACTCTCTCTCAACTCTATAACTCCGAAACATGAACCTTGACGAACCGCTGCGTGGAGAAATGAGTTGGACGCGGTACTGCCAGGGACGTGGTGGGGATTGAACTCGGAACCTCTCGCTTATGAAGCGAGTGCTCTACCACTACACCACTACCGCATATGTGCCAATATGCGCCCATGCCTAGCATGTCATATGCCATACCTAGCATTATTGAAGTCTTTGGGAATCAAAGGATAGTACCCATCAATGCTGAGATCCGAAGATGAAACAGAAGAATTTAAATCTGTCTCACATAGAGCAAAGAAGCCTGATGAACTTTGTAAGAGGAAATAATTCAACTGATGAAAAGTTACTTCTAAGAGCACAAATATTTGTAAAAGATATATTGAAATAGTTAAATGATGGTAATATATTGAAAGCCAAGCATGTAACTATGGTAATGGTTTTTTTGTGTTTAATATTTTTAAGTACTTTGGTCATGATTTAAGTTAAAGAGATAGAACATTCATAGATAGAACATGGAACAGATTGGATTAGATTACATGTTACCAGTAGCAGAATGATCATATGCCTGACACTAAAAACCTAAAACTTGACATTTTGACAAAACTTGACAAACTTCTTTTTAATAACTTAATATGAGACTATGAGATAAGGATGATATGATAATATGAGACTATGAGATGAGACTATGAGATGAGAGTATGAGACTAAGAGATGAGAATGTAACCAGTGGAAAAAGTAAAAAAAAATTTACTTAAGTAAAAGTATTGTTACTTGAGTGAAATTTTACTTTACAGTTAAATGTTACCGGATGAAAAGTTTACTAAAATAAAAGTAAAAAGTCGCTCCATAAAAATGTACTCAGAATTAAAGCTACTGCATTACTTTTTAAACAACTTTTTAATTTTCTTTTAAATTTTATTATAATATTCTTTTAAAACTCAAATAAGAAGGATAAAAATTTGAAACATTCAGCAGTCCACATGTTTGAGTGTCTTCATGATGGGTTGTCCATAAATTGTGTCACACAATTTTTGACTTTAAATACATTAATATTTATAAATTTATCATAAATTTAAATTTTCTTTTATTTAACTAATTAATACATATAAATTTTAACTTTTTTATACTTTAAAAGTCATTATTTGTACCTACAAAAAACAAATTTTCAGTAAAAATACGTACACAAAAAAATTTAAATTTGTTAATATAAATGTACTGATGAAGAGCTGTGAAAGATTAAAAGTTTTAGTTGTAGATAAAATGACTGTAGTAAAGTGGGAAGTGATACATTATTTTTTTGCACTACTCTAGTTCCATATAAAGTTGTACAAATTAACAGAGACTTTCAGGACAACTCACCTCTAAAGATATTTAATTTTTGATAAAAATATAATTTAAATAACTTCATTGGTAATAAGTTAGTGTATTGTTATGGATGTCACTATTCTATCATGACTTTATCATCATTAAGCCGTAAAATGCAACAGAGTCTATATTATTTTACTAAAACTTAAATCAGTTTGAAAAGTAAATTCCAACTCCTCCCCTTCTAACTCCTCTCCGCCCCCTTTTCATTGCATGACAATTTATGAATGACCCCTAACTTTGCTTTAACAGAGAAAACTATTAGGAAAGAAAGTTTTAAAAAAAATTTCTATAGAATAAAAGAATTAAATCATACCTTTTGTGATATTAAACAACACTTAATAATTTTTTTAACCAGTAATATATGTGATTTAAAATGTTGTGAAGCATGATACTTTAAAAAATATTTACTCAAGTAAAAGTAAAAGTTGACATTTAAAAAAATCTTAATAAGAAATTTACAAAAAAACTGTTTAATTACAGTAACATGAGTAAATGTCATTTTTTACTTTTCACCTCTTAATGTAAACAGTTTGTTTTCGAACAATTTGTTTTTGAACAATTTTCAAAAACAAATTGTTCACATTCACATCACAAAAAAAAAGCAACAAACTTTTTTGAACAATATGCTTTGTTATTGTTTTTACTGCATTCAATGCATTTTTGATTGTTTTTTATGCTTGATTAAATATTTCTATATATTAAAAAGATATTTTAGCTAAATCAATTTGTTAAATATATTTTCTTCACTTTATATTTAACATCTAAAAATTGGAGAAGTGTTTTTAAATTTTTATTTTAATAACAGACTTGGATGGTTGGAATAATTAACCAAATCTTATTTTTATACAAAGTGTTTTTATACATACCTATTAGTAGTAATCAAGTGAACAAACTTTTGGGTAATTAAAGATGAGGTTTTTTTTTTTTGTAATCCAAGGAAAATAAAAACATGATTTTGAAAAAATAAAATTTTTTCAAGAATTCAAGAGGAAGTATTTGATAGAATAAAAAAAGTGCACAAAAAGGTGATAAAGTTAGACAGAACAAACTAATCAAGAATCAGAATCTTTGAACCAAAAATCTTTGAACCAAAAATCTTTGAACCAAAAATCAGAACAAAAAAATTAAATAAAAGTAAAACTTCAAAAAATGTAAGAGACAAATAAAAAATAATAATAATAATAAAAAGATCAAAGATGAAAAAACTATTTTTCTGATTTATGTATTAAACTTATTAACCCCCTCCCCTTCGTTTCTCTGATAAGTCTAGTGCAAGTGAACCAAAATAAACCAAACTATTTGAAAGACTAAAGTGCAATCATAAATCTATTAACAGGGATAATTTGGATGAATAAATGTATAAATTTTAAATAAAATTTTGAAAGTTACTGATAAAAATTTAAGAATGAATGAAGAACTGGATTAAAACAATATTTAAAAAACTGTTTTGATTTTTTTCCAAAAAAGGACTGAAAGTATTTCATACAAATAGCATTTTTTAGATGGATGGTGAAATAAAGATTTTCACTTGACATTTCTGATGGTTTGGAATAGAAAAGTATTGAGTTTATTTAACATACAATCTTCCACGACAATTAAGCAGTATACTTAATGCTATTGCAAGAAAAAGAACTGATTTATGAAACAACTTTATTTTCAATTTCATTTTTTATTTTCTTTTTCATTTCAATCTGTTATTTTCAAATAACTTTGTTTTTTTTCTACTTTATATTTTGTAGTACATTAAGGCTCCTATCTCTTTAATATAGCACCTTCATCAAATCTTTTTTTACTAAAAAAAGATTTGATGAAGGTGATATTAAAGAGAAATAAAACTATATTAAGGAGAGATAATACTATATTAAGGAATTATAATGCTATATTATAGAGAGATAATGCTATATTAAGGAGAGATAATGCTATATCAAGGAGAGATAATGCTATATTAAAGAGAGATAATGCTATATTAAAGAGAAATAATGCTATATTAAAGAGAAATAATACTATATTAAAGAGAGATAATGCTGTATTAAAGAGATATAATGCTGTATTAAGGAGATATAAGAGACTAAAGAGTTAAAGCTATTAATGAAAAACTCAGTTTTTTAAATTTTAATACAGTAGAAGCTGTGCGGAAACCACTTCAAAAACACAATTGGCATTTAAATAAAAGATTTGTTGTTAAGTATTGTTTTTTGTTGTTATGTGCTATTACTTATTGTTATGTGCCATTATATGCGCAGTTATTTGTTGATTTGTGCTGTTTAATATCCTATAGAATGATATAAAATATAAAAAAATAGCAATTATTATATAAAACAAATATTAATAATAACAATTATTATAAACTGTTTTGTTTATAATAATTGTTATTTTTATACAAATTAATAAAAAATATAAATTAATAAAATATCTTTAATAAAACAATTGAAATGTATGAACTTACCAACATTCCCATTTACAACCCTAAAATCTTTAATTGAACCATCTTGTGCATCATACCATGGATCTGATGTATACACTTTGACATTTTTAAATGATTGTGGGTGGGTATTTTCAACTGTATGAATAATTTTCCCATTTATATACACCTGAAATGTATAAATTCTATTAATTTGAACTTGAAGTATTTTGATACTTGACCATTCATTGAGAGGGAGTGGTTCAGTAGTAATATTATAATTAGGATTTCCATTAACTGCAGAATAAATGTTCAATCTTCCTGAACCATCTTCTAGAAACCATACACCTGGGCTTCTATCACCATATTTCCCACTATTTTCTCCAATAGTCAAATGAAGAACACTTTTCCATCCAGATGAATATGAATTAGGCTTTAATTTAAAAGTAACAGAATATGCTTTTTCCAATGATGATAATGATGCAATTATATTGTTTTTTTTCAATATCATTTCTGATGAAAATTCAACAACATCTATAACATAAGGGGAAATAAATGCAAAATCAACATCTATAACAACAGAAAATAAAAATCGATCCATCATAACAGTGAAAATTAACAATGTAACTTTTTCAATAAATTTTTTAAAAATAAAAATTCAAAAATAATAGCCAACATAAATATAACCTCACATTAAAAGAAAAAAAAAATTTTAGTTTTACCTTTTGTAACTAATACAGCATTTGGTAAAGACTTGTCTTCTAAAAATTTTATTAAAATTAAAAGGATAATTTATACAAAAGTCTAACTTTGTTTATTATTAAAATTTTGTTTGTTATTATTTACTAGGTTAGTACTAATTTAGTACTATAGAGAGTTAATAATAATAATAATAATAATAATAATAATAATAATAATAATAATAATAATAATAATTATAACAATAATAACAACAATAGTAGTAACAAAAATAATAACAATAATAATAACAACAATAATAGTAATAAAAATAATAATAATATTAGGAATAATAATAATAACAACAGCAATCTCTATATAATAATGCTGAACTTAATAGTAGCCACTTATGTGAGTTTGACACAAAGCTCTCAGCAGCCATTAAAGCCAAGATAACAGTGAGAAAAAGTCCTTCAGCACTTTTTTTATAGAAAGTGTTAGAAACTTATATACAGATATGTAATTAATAAAAAAATATTATTTAAATTTAGGCAAATATAAAAAAATTCCATTTGCATAGCGTTATGTATAGCAACATTATGCCAGCAGGTTAAATTGAGTATGCGGGTCATATATATAACGAATGTGTTTAATGTATGTATAATGTATAATAAAGAATAACTTTTAAGAATTTTCTAACAATTATAAAGTTATTTTTGCTTAAAATGTTTTGTTTTGTATTTTAAAAAGTGTATTTATTTCTGAAACAAATTTAAATTTAGCTAAGACTTCAATTGTCACATGCTTAGTTTAGGTATATATTTATCAATTCTTGGATTTCATAGAGAAAACAATCATGTTTTAAATTCATGCCACGTTTGAAGGTACTTTTGGTTATTTTGTTTAAATCCAGTAACCTCTGTGATAACATTTAAAAATTTTAATTCTGTTAAAATATTTCTAAATCTTTTTAAAATGTTTTTTGTGATGATGACAATTTGATTCATAATGTAACCTTAAAGATTTACACAAGGCCTATAGTAATCCTAGATCTTCTTATCTACATAACACCCCTATAACATTTTAAATCTACGTTACATATTGTAAAGTAAATGAGATTTATTATGTTACATGCAAAAATGTCTGTTATTTTTATATAACTGAGACATAATATTTTACATAACAATACATAACACTGTAACAGAACGCTATGTGCAAAATGTCAGTTATTTTTATGTTGCTAAGACGTAACAATGTAATGTTATGATACATAACATTGTAATGTAACGTTACATTAAAAATATTAGACAAATGTGTTTAATGGCTAAAAAAGTGTGGGATCTGTATGGACTTTATGCAAAACCTTTAACTTCTTCAAAAACAAGTTCAAAAAATATTTTACTTATGGTTTACTTTACAGTTAGTTGATAATGAATGTTTTTAATATTCATGATGTTGGAACCAATAAAGCCAAATTTTATGTATATAATGAAGGCTTCACTAAAAAGGGACCAAATAAAATTTGTTAATTTTTAGTTGACTATATCAATAAAGTTCTTGATGCTGGTGTTGGTGTTGAGCATCTTCATATTTTTCCTAATGGTGCACCTGGACAAAATAAAAACATCATAGTTGTGCAGTTTTTTCTTGCCCTAATAGAAACTAGCCAAGTCAACAGTATTCATCACTATTTTCCTATTTGAGATTTGTACTTTCGTACTTTCTGTGTGACTGCAACTTTATCAAATGAAAAAATGCTTGCTCACAAAAAGCAAGCAAATTTTGATGAATTTTACAAGAGGTAACATTCAACTAATGGAAAGTTACTTTAAAGAAAACAAATATTTGTAAAAGATATATTAAAACAGTTAGGTAGTGGTGATGGTTTTTTATGCTTAATACTTTTGGTTACTTTGGTCATGGTTTAAGTTAAAGAGAACTTGACTCATTCATAGATAGAGCATCTCAAGGCATCCCAAACAATGAGCTATTCTTGTAACATAGGGTTCCTTATATAGCCTTGACAATGCTCAATAAGAGCATTTATAGCAACACCCTCCAAGCCCAACGTGACACTGTTAATACTCTGAAGTTTTGCAGCTGTTGATGTAATCAGCCTCTCTGAGAACTACCACAGAGTTTGGGAAACCTTACTACCAGCCAGCCTCAGAACCATTAAACTAAGTTTGAAGAGTTGCATAGTCACTATCAAGGAGATACAAGTAAAAATCTATGAATAGAGTCAAGAAGATCCAGTATCATCATCTTAACAATGCAACAGGTTTATATCTATGCCTACTAGAAGAAGGGGTATGAGTTTGGTCAAAAGCATTATTCTGCTTACCCCTAAAGTAATTGCTTTGGAGGCCTTCAAAAGCATTTTTAAAAAGATGCCATCTCTAGCTTTTACTCATCCAAAAGCCTTAGTTTTTTTATTAAAAAAGGATTTATTTAAATGTGACTTATTCAAATTTTTGTTCATCAAATTTAATATTATTTATATCAAAATACATTTTTTATACCAAAATACAAATACACATACAAATTTGCCAAAAATGATGATGATGTAAAGCCTATGTTGGTAAAGTTATGGAAATCTAAAAATATTCTTTGTCAATATTCTTTTAAATACATTTTTCTTTTAAAAATTTAAAAATTTTAATTTTTTTGCTTATTTCATAACAAAACATTTGATACCCAGTCTTTTTGATACTCAGTCTAATTATTCTAATAGGGTAAAAGCTATATAAAATATGAAAAAGTATATAAATAAAATATATAAATAAAAAATAAAAAATAAATATATTAACAATAAATATAAATAAAAAATATATAAATATAATATGAAAAAATATACTGTTAATAAGATGAACATATTCCATTTAAAAAAATATGTTATTGTCAGATCATGAAATTGTGGACCTATATTTTAGGTACTACAATAGCCTTAGAATATAATGACTTTATTCAGATGGATAATCACTAGACCAAGATCAGATTATGATAATAAAACACAACAGAAAAACATTTTATTTAAAATGAATTGATTTGAAAACAATTTTTTTAAAACCTAATTGCTTATAAAATAATTATTAGTTATCAATCTATAATTTAAAAAAAAATTATTTTCTATTATGCTTCATTTTCATAATCTGATCTGATAATTATAGATCTTGGTCCGTGATTATCTATCTGAATAAGGTCATTATAGTTTGAGGGCTATTGTAATACCCAGATTAAAGGTAAGCAGTTTCATGATCTGAAAATAGCATACTTTTTAAAACCGATTGTATTTACTTAATTATAAGTACATTTCTTCATATTTTACCTGACATTCCATTAATAATAGTAAGATCTTTTATAAAGCCATCTTGAGCAGGATACCAAGGGTCTGAAGCATAAACCATAACATTATTAAAAGATTTAGATTCTCTATTTTCTTCAGCAAAAATCTCTTCTCCATTCAATTTTATGCGGTATTTATATATACTGTTTTCCAACAGCTGACTAATTTCAATGTGAGACCATTCATTGAGAGCAACAGGTTCGGTCTTGAAGACTCTGTTAAGATTGCCATTTATAGGGGCAGAAATATGCAGACTACCATCACCACTTTCATGAAACCACACTCCTGGAACTCTATCACCATATTGACTTAAATCAGAGCCAATAGTAAAATGAATAACATTGCGAAAACCAGCAGTAAATGAATTAGGCTTCACATCAAAATATATTTTATAAATCTTGTCTAACTTTGGAATAACTGCCACCAAGTGTTTTCTCACAAGACGTGTTTCGGTGTCTTCTATTAACTGCTCTAAAATAAAAGTTTTTTTTATTTAAATCAAATTTTAAAGTTCTACTAATGTATAATTTATAAACTTTGAAATATGTGCGTATATATATATATATATATATATATATATATATATATATATATATATATATATATATATATATATATATATATATATATATATATATATATATATAGCATCCTAGTTAGCGACTTTCAGGGACATTATTTTTGCTACCATTCTGTTATTTTTTTTTTACTTTTTTTTATACAATTTTTATCATATTTATATACTTTTTTTAATTTTTATTTTATTTCTATTTTTATTTATACATATTTAAATTTATTATTTTATAATAAATATATATTTTTTATATTAATTTTTTGTTATTTTTATTTATTTATTTTATATTATATTTCATTTTTAACTTCATCTATTTACAAAAACGATTAATTACAATAATATAACTAAATTTAAACCTTGCCGTAACCCTAACCCTAAGCCTGACCTTGATGCAGGCCAAACCTAACCCTCAGTCGATATAGCAGCACTCCTTTGCGAGTCAAGCTATTTGCCAGTCAATTTATGTACTTTTTGTTCTCTATAAAATTTTCTTACGGGTACATTTAAAAAAAAAAAAATCACGCTTAAGGTGACAAAAATTTAACGAGTACACTAAAATGTCCCCAATAATGCTAATGTCCCCGTAATTTACAGTTGGTTACACCAACAATTTGATATTTATCTGTGTTTTGATAATGGTGTTCTAGAAAGGTCAGCTTGTTTATGTCCATTGGCAAAAAAAATTCCAATAATTTAATGGAAATTCTGGATAGATCAAAAAATGATACAGGAGATGGTAATAGGAAAAGTAGACAAAGAAACAATTAAACTGCAGAGGAGAGAATAAAAGAGGAGGTAGAACATGGAATTTACCGATTACAGATAAGAAGTTGAAGTTTAATAAAGAAATTGACCCAAGTGAAACATATTACAGTGGTAATGAACAGTCAAAGTCCAATGAAGAATTTTTGCAAAATGAGATGTCAGATGATGAAGTGATGTCAAATTATGAAATGGTATCAATTGATAATGAGATGTCAAGTGATGAAGAGATCAAGGTTTATAACACTAAACAATATCCTGAGTTGTGTAAGACCATGAATAGGTGTAAAATTAGTAACAGGGATGCTTGCCTAAAAGAAAATGCTCTACCAAAAGATTTAGATTTTCTAACACAAAAGAATGCTATTGATCCAGCAAAACTTTGTTTTGAGAGAAATGTGTGGATGAAAAAGGAAGTGAAAAAGCATGGTGCTGAAGTCCAAGAAGTACTTTGCATTAGATTTGATAGGAAGCAGGATATCACTTCTGATAAAATAAAGTAGTAAAGCTGTTGATATTGCACAAGAGATTCTATTGAGCATCAACAACATCAAATCATTAGACACTTTAGCAGCAGTTGTTTGCAACAATGCTGTGACTAAAACAGGTCAACACAATGCAGTAACCAGAAAATTAGAAAAAGATTTTGGGAGAACATTGCAATGGTTGGTCTGTTTGTTACATGCAAATTAACTACATTTTAGAAAATATTTCTTCTTTTTTTGATGGTGGACATTCAACAGGTCCAGCTACTTCAACAGGTAAAATAGGCATTGCAAAAGATTCCAAAAGATTTAGTTATTGTGAACTTTAACATTGGTAAAAATTGGTAAAAACTGGTAAAATTGATGATGTAAGAAGATACCCTTAACAAACTATGTCTAAATGCAAGTACAGCCCACTGGTATAGAACCGCCATTGTACCCAAAATAAGATTAGAGATAAAAAAAAAATTAGATGCTATCACCAAAAATGCTGGTGCATTGGGATAGAAAACTTATGGACATTCTTGATTCTAAAGGAATGGATGATCGATTTCCAGTTCTTGTGTCTGGAGCTGATGAGGCAAAGCTCTTAAACATTCCCCAACATCAAAATCAACTAAAAAAAATTTTAAAGTTCTTAGAGACATCATTGTAAAGGAACTAAAAAACTTCTTAGAGAATGAAAGTGTGAAGAAAATGTTATTGGCATGGTTTATGATAAAACTTTATCAAATACAGATAAGCTTAATTAACTAAGTATAAAGCATCTGAATGAAAATCGTACAACTACACTGTAATGATTTTCAGAAAACCACTGCATGTGTGTCTTTACAAACGGAAGATTGCTGGGAAGGTTTGAAAGTGAAAACATTAGCTAGTCCAAAAATTTTGATCCTTTAAAGGTAAGTTCAATAGGCTATACTATTTGTTTTAACTAAAAATCAATATATTATACGAAAAATAGTTAACCGCTACTTTTTACAATTAGGATGTTTGAGCAATTAACATTTATTTACTATATCTTAACAACAATTAACATTTTTTTACTTTATCTTTTTCACTTTTCTAGGTTCAAGAAACATTTCCATCAGCTGTCAGCAGATAAGCAAGCAAAATATTATTACCGTCAATGATGTCTATAGAAGAAGAATGCCAGCAAGAAATGCCTAAATTTTTTGAGAATCTCTAACACAATTGTTCACATGATGTGACTACAAAGAGCTGGTTTTAACTTTGTCTGCTCATAATAGCGAAGGGATTTGATCCAAAGAACTTCAAGATGCTCTATCCTGGTGTCCTTTACAAAGCAAGGTGGATGAGTAAATTGCTTTATACTCAGAAAAGTTTAGATTGTAGTTGTTCTTAAAGATGACACTATGGGTTGAAATGGTACCTTTAACATATACACTGATATATTTGTATAGATGGTATCATTCAATATACAAAAATCTCTATATTTTTATGCTTTTTTATACTTTGTAGTTATATTCTATTCTATGTACTCATAATAACATTTTTAAAGTAATTAAATTTTAATATAACTAAATTAAAATTTTTATGTATTTATATATTTTATTATAAATTAAACTAAATATTTTTTACAACTATAAGTTTCATGCTAAATGCAATCATCAGGTAAAAAATGTGATTTTTTCTTGTGGAAAAATAATTCTGTACCAGAAAAAAAAAGCAATAGAAAAATCTAATCTTTTAGTTTGTGGTTATCCAGCACAATTTGTTCTCATGGCAACACTTGGGTATTAGTTCTCTTTTTTTATTTGATAATTCTTTGAAATTTTTATTATACAATCAAATTCTTTTTATACAATCAAAGTTTTGATATTATAATAATTGTTACAAAATTATATTATTATAAATTATAATAATAACTACAAAACAAAACTCATAATCATAAAAGAGTGCTCAATATTAAAAAGTTATTTCAAATAGAGCAATACTTATCGCCTATAATTAATAGCCTATGAATATTAATAGTGCGCATAGTTACGCGTATTGTTTTATAGTTACGGTACGGTTCTGTATCTGTAAAATACACTTTTTAAGTAGTTTCTAGACTTTTCTTTACCGCGTGCTTACTTACAGATTTCCCTTCAACCTTTCATGGTACGAGTTCAAAATATCTAAGTTGACATTAAGTAGATAATGTTTAGTAGCTTAAAATTATAGGTAATCTAAATTTTTTTTTAAATTTAAAAGTAATTAATTTATTGTAATCATTTTTAAATTTTAAATTTAAAGCTTCGTGTTATAGATTACTTTAATTCTTAATTTGTGTCTAGCGTTAAAATATATTTATGGGTAGTTTCATGCTTTCACTTAGTTTTGGTTATTGGGATAAAAGCCATGACAATATTTTGTTATAAATTTATCTTAATTTAATTTTTATTGAAAATTTTGTTATAAATAAAATTTGTCTTTAATATTGTTAATACTTTAGCTCTTTGAAAAAAAATATGTTTCTGGCTCTTCAATAAATATAAAATTATTTGTCTTGCATGAATGAATTTTGGTTTAGGATTTAATTGTGTTAGTTTATGTTTGTCTATCTGTAATTTATTTAGGTTATTAGAAAATTCATGTTTACAGAGTTGTTATAAATCATAATCGAGTTGTTAAACCAAGGAAATTGTGGAGGTTTATTTATCATATATACTATATATATTATATAATTATATTGGAGGGAGTAAGTTTAGAAGTCTTTGAGGTAGAATTAAAGTTTCAGTTTTTTAAAACTTTAAATTAACTTTACAATGTTAAAATGGTTTAAACGGATTTTTGTAAATGAATTTAATCCTCAAAGATTAAATTTTTTTTATTATTGAAGAAATTAAACTAGATTTAAGAATAAGTCGACTTAAATGTTTGTTTGTTTTTCTATTTAGATGACAATATTGAAGCAAGTAAGTTAAAAAGCATTTTTAAATTTTTAAAAAGAAATAAAAATACTTTTCAATATATCTCTGTTTTCTTTGAGGTAGATTTAAAGTTTCAGTTTTTTAAAATCATATATATTTTAAAATCCTATATATAACTCATATATCTTTGTTTTTCTATTTAAACGTTGGTAATAATATGAAACAAGTAAGTTATAAAGCAATTTAAAATTTTTAAAAAGAAATAAAAATACTTTTTATTATATATCTGTTTTCTTCGAGGTAGATTTAAAATTTCAGGTTTTTTAAATCATATATATTATAAGATTTACAAATAAGTCGACTTGAATGTTTGTTTGTTTTTCTATTTAGACGTTGGTGATAATATCGAAACAAGTAAGTTATAAAGCATTTTTAAATTTTTAAAAAGAAATAAAAATACTTTTCAATATATATCTGTTTTCTTCGAGGTAGATTTAAAATTTCAGGTTTTTAAAATCATATATATTATAATATTAAATTCTTTTTTACTTTAAAAATATCTATATTATAGTTACACTGAGTCGTAGAAAAAAAATTAAAGTTTATTAATAAGGTAGTAGATTATTAGAGTAGATTAAATTGTTTGATCTATTAATCAACTTAATAACGTACTATTAATATGAAGATTTATTTTGGTTGTTTGTTTGTTAAAATTTAGTTAGAGTTTATTTAAAATTTAAATTCTTTAGTTAATCAAGAGAGATCTAATAAAGG